GATACTCCCAGTCCAAATCAAATCCATCAAATCCATACTGCTTCACGAAGTTGACAATGTTGTCCACAAATTTGGCTCTTAAGCCGTCATTATTCACCACCTGAAAAAAAAAAATAACCATCTTACTTACAAAGTCTAGTTTCTTTCAGTCCACTTCCACTTACTTACTTACTCATGGAGCTGAGCCCTTCCGGAGGAGCCGCCAATTCTGCGGCTACTCAAGAATTTCCCAGCATTTTATGGAACCCGAAGGTTCATTACCGTGTTCACAAGAGCCCTCCACTGGTCCCTATCCTGAGCCAGATGTATCGAATCCAATCCATCCCATCCTATCTTTCTAAGATCCATTCTAATATTGTCCACCCACCTACACCTAGGTCTTCCCTCTGGTCTATTTCCTTCTGGCTTTTCCACCAATATCCTATACGCATTCCTCGTCTCCCCCATTCGTGCTACATGACCTACCCACCTCATCCTCCTTCACTTGATCAGTCCACTTCCACACTTCATTAAATATAGGCTTTTTGTTTCATGGTTCCTTTGTACTTATTGTCACGTGTATGAGTGACTATAGACCGGGTCTGGATTGATAATTGGTTACATTGAAGACTTACAGATCGTAACTCAAAGTAATTATAGGCCTTTTGCTAATTCACACACTCTACAGTTCACTATATCACTTACTAATTTTTCTGTCTGCTGTGCCTTCACCTGTTGTAGCGGCTTCCTACGCCGCAGGTTCCTCAGCTTCCGTGTTCACGACCTTACTGGCCGGAGACTGTCTCACAACTAACTAAATTCTATAATTGTCCTGCTTACAACACCTCGGCACAGACGGCTTAGAAAACACCGCTTCCAACAATTTTTATATTGTTGTGTCATTCAGCCGTTACACGGACCGCGTACAGGACACCGCCTCGCAGTTGGTTCATCGGTGCGTATTAGGAATCTGTTGCCTAGTAAGAGGCGTTGCTTACAGAGTCTAAGTGCTGCAGCATGTATCCATATATTCCTCCCTAATAAAATTTCAGGGCCGGTCACGGTAACCGAGCGGTCTAAGGCATGTACTGTCTTCGCTCGCTTGGAAACCGGGATCGTGGGTTCGAATCCCACATAGGGCATGGATGTTTAGTTTATGTGTGTGCGTTTCTCTGTGTTTGTGTGCAGGTAGAGGCCTTGCGACGAGCTGATCACCCGCCCAAGGAGTCCTACCG